GGCATTGTAAAGATGCTGGCACTTGCCAAGTCGCAGAACAACAAGCTGAAGCTGCTTTGCCACTTCAAAGCCTGTATAAAGCAGGAACTTTTGAAAGGAGGTTGCTCAGCTCACCTTGATCTCCCTCGCTTTCCCACTGGGTGCTGCCACTCTGTGTATTCTCCAGCTGCTCATTTTGTGCAATTATTTTTATTTTAAGGTGCTTGGGATATAATAAATATGGTAATATTTTCTTTCATTTTTATGACTTGATTTTTTCTGAATCAATTGGAAGAATTATTTTAAGTGAACAAAATTAATTATTGCAGTTTTGGTTCCCTAATTAACACTGCCATCTGTATTAAAGTTGTGGCTCAGTCTCGCACTCTGTGATTTCATGTTGAAATCCTTGCAGTCAGCATAAGAGGATGATCCACACAGTGGCGTGGCTCTGGTGCAGGCTCCCTGCCAGCTCCTCAGGCCCTCTCTGGCTGTGCACCTTGGTGGCACGGGGCAGCCGCTGCCAAGCCTCCCTGCACCGCAGTGTCCTCACAGGCTGCAGAGCAGGGCCAGGGCTGTTTGGATGGGGAGTATTTCCCACCTCACAGCCCACCTTCATGCTGGTGTGAATTAGAAACAACGATCTTATGGACAATGGGACCAGCCTTTATGTGTGCATGCATGATGGCTGGGAAGGCCCTTGGCAAGGCTCACACTTTGTGGGGCAGGCTGGGCCACCTGTGCCTCCCTCCTTGGGGCCTGTTTGCCCAATAAGACCAGTTTCCCCATTGGCACCACTCTGCGAGTGCTGGAAGTTCTGTCCTGCTGGTACTGGCAGCCCACAACAAGAGCCCAGATGTGTCTAGGAAAGGGGCTGGATGTTTTCAGGGAAATGCAGCTGAAATTTCATGGGTTGGTTATGGGTTAAAATTCCAGATTTTACATTTTTGTCATGGAGATTTGTCCAAAAAAAGCTGTGGAGAAATCCCAGTGAATGCCGGTGAGTGGCACACTGTGCCCACTCCTGCCTGGGCTGTGCTCACCTTGTGGGGCTCACCTGACATCCCCGAGGACACCCCACTAGGAACAGGCTCATAACAGTTACTAAAGGGTCTCCAAGTGGCCCCGCACAGCTGTGCCAGCAGGACTGGTCCCGTGGCTGCTGTGCCACAGGATTGCACATGGACAGAAGGACACTTGGAGGCAGTGGATGGATGGGAAAGACAGTCCTTCCTCCCCCCAGGCTCCCAACATTTTTCTGATTTCATGGGAACTTGTAGGAAAGGAGCACGTGTTTCATGCAGGCTGGAGGAGAGGAGAATTTGATGAGAGAGCAGGATTTCATGGGCCTCTGGGCATACAACGAGCCAGGTATTGTTCCTGGGAGGTACCTGGCTGCATGGGGGAAAATGCAGCTCATTGCAAAGGAACTAAAGAAGAACAGATGCAGTGCTGGCATGAGGATGAGGAAGCCCTGTCAGAGCTGGAGCACTGTTGTCTGTCCAAAATAAAAATCTAAAAACAACAAAACAAAACAAAAACAAACAGACAAGCAAACAACAACAACAAAACAAGTGAAAAGGGACAGATGAAGCTGTTCTGATGGACAGCATTACTAGATGTTAAGGCAGGGTGGTATGGCCCTATTCCACGTCCCTGTTACACCTTCTGTGCTTTTTTTTTCCTTCTCTAACCCACTTCCAGTTTATTTTTTTCCATCTTTGCTTTTCTTTTCCAGCAGCCCAAGTGTCATCTTTGCTCTGTGATTAATATGAGTTGTGAACTTGCAGCCTGGAGTTTTATGAGTTGCTGGGGGCTGCATGGGAGCCAGCGGCAGGTAATGCTTTATCTCCTGCTGCAGCGCTCCTTTCTCATGCAGGCTTCGGGGTGGAAAAAATTCTGTCTCCACTTGGACTCTATTTATTGCCACAGTGTGAGACTGATTAGTGGTGACACAACTCACATGAATCCAGGTAATGCCTCATGCGGTAGCAAGTGACCCAGAAACATCCTGGAAAAGTGCAGCAAAGGAAATCGCCGTTTGGAGTAAGGCAGGGTGTTTGCAGTCGTTAGCTGTCTTTTGATTCAACATGCCCACTGTGATCTGGTAGAATAGGATTTCTTCCCAAGCCTTTTGGTTCTAGGTGATGTTAGCATCTGTGAAATATGCTCACAGACAGTCTGGTAGAGCAGAGCTATTCTGCAAGAAGCCAGCAATTTTGTTTTCATGACTGTGTAAATGATGGTGCTGTAGAACCACCCTGTGCTTGCCTTTGCATTGACAGCAGTATTCCTGCCTCCGGTATCACTTAGTGCAAGGTACAGGCTGGTCTGGGGGGAATGGGCACAGCCGTGTCTGGCTGGGCTCGAGTGGCTCTGCTCTGCCACACCAGCAGTTATCACCGCTGTGACAGCACTTGCTGCGGTGCACATCCTCGCAGCATGCAGCAGACAAGGAGCTGGTTCGGGAGCAGGAGGTGTCTGCAAACATACGATGCTGTCAGGCAGACTTTGGAGTTTGGTACCTCTGGCAGAAAGAGGAAACTGCAGCACTTGACCTCTGCTTCCTATTTTCCTCAGAACAGTGCTTCTTCCCTCCTTTTGGTAAACTTCTCAACTAGTTGTCTGTGGAAATCATTCCTTATATTTTACATCCCACAGGTAGACCTAGAAGACAGGTTTATGTTGTGTTAACAACAGGTAGTGGGTGAAAGTTTGTCAACGTTTCAATCCATGTCAATGTTTAACAGCAGAAGTCTCCCACAGCTTGTAGTGTGCATAAACAGGGCTGGTTAAAGAAATGCTGGTTAAAGAAAGCTCAAAGCTCTTGGATGGAACTTGGAGTAATTTGTAAAAGGCAAAGATAAAAAAATAAAAACCAAAAAACAGCTTGAGTGCCTGTCCACGATGTGTTCTCCACTAAGGAGGGCAATGCACGGTGCCACGTCGACCTTCAGTGCCCAGAGCTGCTGAACGTGCACCAGCTGAGCCTCTGCTTGCCCTGCAGGGCGCACGGCAGCACCGCTGCACTGCCAAGAGGCACAGGCTCCGTTCCCAGTGCCACCGGTCAGGTCCTGAAGTGCAGCCACCTCTTTGCTTCAGTGAGCCAGGCAAGGGAAGTTGGTTCTGTGAGCACTGTGCGTCTGTGCAAAGGAGGAGGCCCTGGGCCCCGGAGCTGCCCTTGTTCTGCTGCCCCCAACCTCAGCCGGCTGCTTGGGGTGAGGCTGAGTCTGCAGTGAGTCTGAGTGCTGCGTGGCTCGGAGGAACTGGTGAGAAGCAGCACTTGCAGTGCTTAGAGATATGTTTGTGACTCATCGCTGCACATGTCTTATTTCTATAAAAAGAAACCAAGGACAGATTTGAAATTGTCAGTGTCTTCTTTGCCCGGCTAAAATCAAAGATTTTTTTGAATCTCTGCTGTCTGCTCTAGAGAGAAGGAATGTGTGGGGTTCCTAAAGACTGGATATGGATTTTTTATCTCCAAACAATACAGTGTAAAATTAGAGCACAGTATACACTGGACACCTTAAACAGCGCAGACGTTTATATGCATGAAAGTACGGCTACAAGAACGGCAAAAGCGTTGCACACCTGCACTCTTTTGACTTAGGGTAAATGCTGAACTGATACAGATAGGCACTGCTGGCAGCATGCCGGTTTTCCCTGGTTTCTCACCTGCTCTTCTCATGTGAACTTGGGCTGCAGTGGCATAAGCTGCCATACAGGACCTTCCTAATGAGAACTTGTGTAAGACAAGGACTTAAGGCAGGATTTCCAAGTGTGTGACCTAGAAGCACAAGTCTCATTTATATTCATGAGACTGGGGCGCTTCTGAAAATCCCACCTGAACCCATTCATTTGTGTATAGGAATGAGACATTACTTGACACGAGAGAGGACCTCTTGCTTTAGCTAAGGCTTCCTGCAAAGAGAAAGCAGGACCTGGTTTGTTCTACAAACCCATTTGATTTCACACTCAGTAACAGCAAGTCGAGCTGAGAGGGGCAGGGAAGGGATGAGAGGAGGACAAGGCGGGGAGTGGAGGTGATGGGCTCTGTGTCCGTCTGCAGGGCCCCAGCTCAGGGACTGCCAGTGCCACCAGAGCAGCCCCTCCCCGTGCCCAGAGCCCTCCTGCACAGCGCCAGGTGGGTACAGCCCCGTTGCCCAGCAGCCTCCTCCTTTTCCCCTTACGTCAAGCTGTTTCTGCATGCTTTGGGTGCAGAAAACATGGTGAGGGGGGTGTGCTCAGTGTTGCCTGGACTTGGGACATTGTCACCCATAACCCAGAAGAGAGCACGATGCCCCAGCACATGCCTGGGCTGCGCACCCTGGTGCTGCCCTGGAGCCAGCTGTGGGGTGATGCGCCTGTCACTGCACAGATAAAGTGTTTAAAGAAAAAATCAACACTGGCACTCTGGAAAAGATAAATGGAGAGCTCTTCCCAGTTGGTGTTATTTTTAAAAATGGGAATAAAATTGGACACTTGTGCATGGAAGTGCTTATTTCCTTCATTTATTCATTCCTTACTGGCTCCTGTGCTGCAGTGGCCGCAGTTCCCTGGCCGGGTCTCATTGCTCACAAACAGAGATCTCTGAAACCGCTCCTGAGCGAGGGCTTCAGCCTCAGTTCCTATTACAGATTCTGTGGGACAAATCAACATCTTCCCATTAGGAAGTGATGACAAACCAGTCCATTTGGGGTGATTAATTGACATCTTAAATTAATCACGAGCACTCGTCTTAATGCTGTGACTCAAGATATTAACTGTTCCACCAGTCGCATGAGAAAGAACAGAGACCATTACAAAGCACATTTGTCAAGCAGTCACTTACACAGCCATTGTGGTGGCTGAAAAAAGGTCAAGTGACTTTGTTATTGTTAAGTAGAGAGCAGACCGAAACTCCTAATTCCTTACTATGTGTTTAATGTGCCAGTTAAGTAGTGGTAATTGGCAGCAGCTGTGCCCTGGAACCAATGGTTTCTTACTGGAGTAGGAAGCCCTAATGTGCTAAATGGTGCAGGGTTGCTTTCAGGAGGGAGGTTTTATAAAGCAGGAGCCACAGATGGGGAAGTGAGCCCTGAGGAGCTGGAGGTGCTGTGGGCTGCTCTGGCGTGGTGTGGTGCTTGTGGGCAGCCGTAAGGGAACCAGCAGGTAAGGAGTGAGTTTGTGCTGTTCTGAAGACTTAAAAATCAGTGGGTGAGTCAAAATGTGGTTTTGGTGGAGGCTAATATAATGGTGATGATAAAGTGGTGCGGTTAGTGCAGGTGTTGCTCATATCACTGATGCTTCTGTGTGGCTGATGGGAGCAGCTGAGCGGGGGTGCTGCAGGCAGCGCGGTGCCCTCGCTGCGGGAGGGTGCCTGGGGTGGGGGGAGGCTGCAGCCCTGTGGTGCCCTTGTGCTCCTCATGTGTCCCCTGTGTCCTGTGGTGCAGCCCTTTGGCTTGGGTGCCCCATTGGTCTGAGCGACTCCTTGGACTGGGGGAGGAGAGGGGCAGTGCTGGGTCTCTGGGTGAGCTCGGTGTGCATGGCTACAAGCCAGTGTCTGGCTCAGGCTGGAAACAAAGCTGTGGTGGTGAGGAGCAGGTGCTTGTGCCTTCCTACTGGTGCTTGGCATATAAACCTGGTGGGGTGCTCATGCCACGCTTAGTATGTGGAAGAGCTGATGCGCTGAGGTTGTGGTGGTCCAGCAGAGGATGGAGTGATCCGCACAGAGCTCAGTCCTGGGGCTTCTGTGTGTTTTTTTTTCTTTGGCAGTAGGTATTTAGAGGTTGGTCCTGTGTGGGGTCTTGCCCAGAGCTGCACCATGAGAACTGGGTGGGGGCTGTGGGTGTTACTGAGCGTGGGAGCTCCCCTTCTCCAGCTTCACAGGAGTGTCCCCACTGCACAGGATTTTGTGTTCTGGGACCACACTGGGGGATGGGGGAGAGAACTAAGGGGGGGGGGAGCAGAAGCTGATGGGTTGAAATAAAGATGGTTTGATAGGATAGAAAGGGAAGGGGAATAATAATAATAGAACATGCAAAGCAAGTGATACAAATGCAATTGCTTACCACCCACTGACCAATGCCCAGCCTGTCCTGGAGCAGCAGTCAGCCCCTCCTTCCCTCCCCCCATGCCAGCTACCCCATATTAATTGCTCAGAACGATGCTGTATAGTATGGAATATGTCCAGTTTGGGTCGGCTGCCCTGGCTTTGTCCCCTCACAGCTTCTTGTGCACCTCTGGCCTTGCTGGCAGGGCAGTAGGACAAGCTGAAATGTCCTTGCCTTGTGTAAGCCCTGCAATAGCTAGAACACTGGTGTGCTATCAGCATTTTTCTCAACCTAAAACACAGCACCATACCAGCTATTAGGAGGAAAATTAACCCTATCCCAGCCCAAACCAGGACACTGCTTTTCTGTGGGCACAGAGATGCCCAGAGTAAGGAGCTGCTCATGGCCCTGTTTCAGGTTTTATACCATCCACTTGCTCTGGGCTGAACCATGAAAATGTCAGAGCTGTGCGCTGTGGTGTTGGCTGGTGCCAGGCTGTTCTGGCTCAGTTGGGAAGTTGCATAAGGGTTTCAGCCCTGTTTCCAGGCCTACAAAGTTTGCACAGCTTTGGGTAAACAATTGGTCTTTCAGGTGTAAATGTAGTGTGAACCGAATCTCCCCCCTTGCCTCCTGGGACTGCTGCTGCTTCCAGCCAAGCCCGGGAGTGCTGAGATGCACAGCAGAGATAAGCGGTGCTGGAGGTAGGTCAGGGATGTTATGCAAACTCTGAGCATCAGAGATTCTCCTGCTTGTTAAGGCACAGACTGGAGTGGTTCTCACCACGTCCGAGCTGTTTCACCCTGAACAACCTGTCTGCAGCCCAGGCTGCCTCCAGCCGGCTGTTGTGGGTTGTTGGGGGCACGGCAGCGTGGGCTGCGGCACAGCTCCCAGCTGTGGGTCCTGGCTGTGTCCTCTTGGTCTGTCTGTCTGGACCAGAGACCCCTCTCCTGCCCAGCCCTGGGTGCTCTGTCCATTTGCTGGTGCCCTGGTGTTGACGGCTGCAGGTCGAGTGCCTTTCCTGAGAGATACAGGGAGGCTGCTGTGGCAGCACGAAGCAAGTGGCTGTGAAGCAGAGCCAGCAAACAGTCCACTTCTGCAGCTGGCTGGAAACCTCTGCCTGGTAGCCTGGAGTCGTTACTTCCCTCTGTGAATCTGGAGTCTTAATATTTAAGTGCTTGGAATATTTATTTTTCATGTTGCTTACTGACACCAGGAAAGGGAAATGAGTAAATCTTTATGCACTTTTAATCACCTGTTAGTGGAGGAGCTGCAGGGCACTGCTGCCTTATGTCTAGAGATAAAAAAAAAAAAAGTGTGGATTTGCCAGGGAGAAGCGGCTCGTACAGGTGCTGTGTGGATGCTGGTGAAAGGCACAGAGCAGCACCCTGGGCAAGAGGGAGCCATCAGCCAGAAGTGCTTTGATGGGATTATGACAAGGAGAGGAAAACAAATCCCCTTTCTCCCTGGCATGGCAGGGGACCTTGTCCCCTGGCAGGACTGCTCTGGTGGGGAGGTCTGAGGGGGAGAGGCCCTGGCTGGTCAAAGTTCCTGTCCCACCTTGCCCAGGATGGGGAAGGTGCCAAATGTCCAGGGTGCATGCAGGCAGCTGGGTTACCATTGCCACCAAGTGTCACCAGCCTTGGTGCCGCCTGGCAGCACTCTGCAGGGCGAGCTGGAGCAGGCGAGGGCTGGGGACAGCAGAAAGAACTGCTGCGACCTCTCCAGCCTTGGTAGCAGCTCAGGACTGACCTTGAGCTCTGCGTCCTCATGCCTCTGCTGCTCTGTCTCTGAAATGGGGGGATTTAAGAGAAAGGAAAGGTCTTCTGGGGGAGCTGCATTTAATCAATGTCCTTGAAGGCCTTAGCTGAGGGTCCTAAAGTGTTATGATGTTATCATTAATAAGGACAGCATTTAAAATGAAACAAGTGACAGGGACAATAGAATAGCAGCCACTTTAATATTCTCTACTTCATTCTGTACTTAAAATCCCTGTCAGTCTCCAGTGAGGAACAAGGAGAATTTATGATGAAAAATCAAAGATGTCCATGAAAATCAAGGATGAGATCAGTGGGCTGATAGATGACTGGCATATGAGTGCCTATCACCACCAAGGCGCTCTTGGCGGGGGACAAACTGTAGCTTTCCTACTCAGAGCTGCAATGCCACCCCTCTCCTTGCTGCCTTTGTTCTAAACACAGCTCTGTGCCCAGGAGCTTTCCTCTTGCCACAGCTGCTGCTGCGGTCCAAGGAAGGAGCACCCTTCTTGCTGTTCTGCCCCTTGTGCCATTGCTGGGGCTGGCGCTGGTGTTTGCTGGGGGAGCTCCTGGTGTGGTGTGACGGAGTGTCCTGCTGCTGCTCCCTGCCCGTGTCACTCTGTGTCCTGCTCCTCTGCTTTTAGGAGGTGGGTGCCTCCAGCCTGAGGAGGAGGAACAGCGCTGTGCTGGTTTGGCAGAGCCCTCCTGCATGCACCGCAGACCTGCCAGCCAGGAGATGCTCCAGTTATCACCAGAGGCATTTCACTGAGCCCTGGGCAGGTGCAAGAGACACTTGATCAGCCCTTGGCTCCGTTCCCCATGCTGTGGTCCCCAGGCACTCTGGGTGCTGGTGCAGTGTCCTGGGTGCAGAGCAGCCCCTGCACACCCTCGCCTCAGGGAGCTCCTTGCTCCAGCAGTAATTAAGGTGACTTGCGGTAAGGCTAATGCTGTTCCACATAATGGTATAGGAGATAAATGCTCAATGCACAAAGGGAGTTTCTTGCTTCGTAGCCCCATTCAAAAGAAGATTCCTTTTGAGTGATCTAATAATGGCAGTGACAAATGCTGTTTACCGGGCAGTGCTCTGCAGCCTGGGGGAGCTGTGGCCGGCGGAGCAGCGGCCCCGTGGGAGGGGATGGCCCCAGGGTGCGGAGGGTTAGGGCCCTGTCCCTGTGCCACGCAGGTCCCTGTCCTGGGCAGTGGCCACCAGAGCTGTGCTGGGGCACTTGCGGCTGCTCTGCCAGCACAGCAGGGCTGGGGACGTGTGCTTGCAGCTAATTAGCAGCCCTGCAAAGTTCATCAATAATAGATCTTGTGGCGGCAGTTGATTGCCGGCTCACAGCGGGTGGGCACGGGGTGGTAAATCAGCCTGATTGATTGTTGACCACTCCAGTTTTTCCAGCAGTAATTTAAAGCAATTAAAACGCCTCCCTCAGAAATTAACAAGGTAAATAACGCCCCCACGGAGCTGTGCGCAGCGGGGGTCCTGCTGGAGAGCCAGGGCTGGCAGGAGCAGGGGGGCTGGTGGCCACCTCTGGTTGCCACAGCTGGTCCTCCCCTGCAGCGCTGCGGGGCTGCCACCACCTGTGCTGGGGGCCCTGAGGGAGAGGTGGGACCAAATGTCAGCAGGCTGCTGGCCCTGGGGAAGCTGGGGTGTTGGCAGGAAACCCCCTGAATGCTGCTGGCCACAGGAGCTGGATGGGCACAGGGCTGTGCTCGGCACCTCTGCTCAGGGCTGGGTGTGTGGGACCGGTGCTGGCCTCCTGCTGTGCTGCTGCTTCTGCGTGGCTGGATGTTGGGATCCTATCCCTGACTGTCAGAGCACAGCACCGCCTAAACGTTGGATTTTCCCTTTAATAGGAATTGTGCCCAGCCCTTCTGCTGCAGCTCCTGTTTTAATTGTACAGCCTATCAATCCTGCTGCTGCTGTGGTACACACAGAGAGGCTACTTCACCCATGAAGGGTGATTATCTTTTATGAGTGTGAAATACCTATAACTCATGAGGTGCAACGGGAAGGAAGTGAGGAGAGAAAGGGAGTCACTCTTCATGGATCAGACAGTCCCTTCAGTATATGGGAAGGGCTTGCTTTTAATTAGAAAGTGCACTTTTCAGCCTAAATCACAGCAATGAAAACGAGGTGAAGAAGCATTTGTAACAATTGCCAAAGCTTCCTTGGAGGCTGGTGTGACCCACAGGTGTTCCTGGGCTACTGCTCTTCCCTGGTGGTGTGGAGGAATTTCAGAACTGCAGTTTGGGGTGTTCAGGCACAGCGGGTGGTTCGTGGTGACCGGGTGCAAGGTGTGAGTTCCTCCAGGCACTGGGCACCGGTCTGTCAGCACTGCCAGGCTGCCCTAAATCCCCC